CCAGCCAATGCGCGGGGAGCGAGAGCCAGGTGCTGCAGGGGCGGAGGGGACCAATGGGGCGAGGCGAGCGCCTGCTCCTCCTCGCTGCAATGTGGGCAAAGGCTGGAGGGGCAGCGGGCTGCAGAGGGGCCGGGGCCGGGGCCGGGGCCGCCTTCCCCTCGCCTCGGGGGCCTTTCTCCCTGGGAGCCTGCTAGGGCAGGGCGTCTGCTCCATGCTGGCCTCTGTCTAGGCTGGGTGGCACTGCCAGGCAGGGTGGCTCTGCCCCTTAGCTCTCCAGAGAGAGCACCCACTTGGTGCCCATGAGTCTGCTGCTTCTTCACGTGGTGCCACCCACGAGCAGGGAGAGGTGGCTAGCTGGGCTAGTCTGCAGGCAGGGCAGTTGTGCGCCTTAATGACCGCCCAAGATTTTAAATTTTTTTTTCAAATTTTCACGTACCAGATCAAATGAGCCAGATCCGGTCCAAAACCTTTGAATCGTTCAAAAGCCTTATGTGGCTCTGCTACCGGCAAGTATCTTCCACGCCAGCCTGGGGCTTCAAATGCATCTAAATCTTTTGGCAGGTATCCTGCATGCAGGCCCAAGCCTGGAGGCTTGGGGGTCGGATGCCCCCAAGTTTCACCTGCTCTCAGCTGTAGGGCCACAGGAGCAAGCTAGGGAGGAGTCTCCTATTTCCATAAAGTGGGCGTGTAGCAGACCAGCCAAGATAGTTGCCTATTATAGAGCACAAGCTTTCAGAAACACCAGTTCACCTCAGCAGGTACTCATCGTTTCATAGATGTTAGGGGCTAGAAGGGATCTTGCAGATCATCTGTCTCCCTCTGACAGCTGTGCACAGAGAGGCTGCTGCTATGAGGAAGACCACAGCTCCTGGATATCTTGCTGGGTTGGCCAGCAACAAGGCATTTCTGAGGCACAGCTCATAGCGCCCAGTATCTCTCCAGGTTAGACATGGACAGGGCAGGCTCACAGCCACTGATGTTTTTCTGGGTTTGTGCCTGGACTGAGGAATCTGCTTACTGAGTTTCTCCTGTGATGGGACAGGACTGGCCTCTCCCCATGAGGAAGCACAGAGGCCTGCAAGGATCTCTCCTGGTTGGGCACAAACATGGCACAGCCAGGAAGAAGCTCAAAGCTGCCCTGATCTCTTCTGGTGGAGCAAGGACAGTTGTAGCTGTGACAGCCATGGTGTCTCCCAGTTGGGCAAGGAGAACTCGCTGCTGTGAGGAAAAGCAGAGCTGCTGTTCTTTTTCCTCTGTGGGTAGTGATGGGGCACCGTTGTGAGGAGCCTCACGGGTACTCAGTGCTCTCCTGGGTCCTGCATGGATGGGGAGAAATTCTGTGAAGAAGCTTGTACCTGCCAATTTCTCTCAAGCTTGAGCACAGAGTGGGAACCACTGCGAGGAAGCTCATCCCAAACTCACAGCTACTGAGTGTGCATTGAGTTGGCCAGCAACAAGATGCTGGTGTGAGGGAGCTCACAGAGATCTCTCCTGACTTGGGCAAGAACAGAGCACTGCTTTGTGAGAGGTTTGCTGCTGAGGTATCTCCCAGAATGGGCAGTGCCAGTGTACTGCTAAGGGATAGCTGCCAGAGTGGCTCAGGAGATAAGCAGGAATAAGGCAAGGCTCTGAGGAAGTTCACAGTTATGGTGGTTTCTCCTAGACTGGGCAGGCAAAGGGCACTGAAGTGAAGAAGGTCCTGTAGCAGATTTCTTTCAGCCTCAAGCTGAGACCTGAGAACCTCTCTGAGGAATGTCAAAGCTGTCACTCTTATAGCCTGGCTAGGACATGCCACTGTGATGTCTTTCTGGTTGGGCATGGATAGGCTAGTGCATGAACCTCTCATTCATGGATGCTGGATTATCTCTTGATTTTGGAAATAAAGGTGCAGAGCTCTTCATGGTGTGGGCCATGAATGGCACATGCCCCCAGTGACTGGGGAGGCACGGTGGTGGTGGGAGCAGCGGGAGCATGGGAGCTCCCACAGATGCTGCTGGCGGGGGGGGGGGGGGGGAGCACTGACCAAGGGTTGGTGACCACCTTCAGGTGCCACCGGCAGTGTCGGTGGCACCAGCGGGGATTGCGAACTGCCGGCAGACACTGCTGTGTCGGTGGCAGGGTGGTGAGTGGCGACTGCCTGCAGGCACCGCCAGCAGTGTCAGCGGTGCCTTTTTGTAGGGGGTGTACCTCCACACTCATTGCCCCTGGTGTGGGCTGAGGCAGGGCATGGTTGTAAGCTCTTTTCTTCCAGGGTCTTGTCTGGGTTAGGCAGAGATAGGACACTGCTTTAAAAAAGCTCACAGCTCCTGGGGTCCCTTCTGTGCCAGGCACAAGTATGGCACAATCTGTGAGGAAGCTCACAGTTGGCAAGGTCTTTCTTTCCTGATGGACCTTTCAGAGTGGCTTAGACAAACTGTAGGAGTGGGCCAAAAGGAATCTCATGAGGTTCAACAAGGACAAGTGCTGAGTCTTGTACTTAGGACAGAACAATCCCATGCACCAGCACAGGCTGGGGGCTGACTAACTGGGCAGCAGATCTGCAGAAAAGGACCTGCGGGTTACAGTGGACAATAAGCTGAATATGAGCCAGCAGTGTGCCCTTGTTGCCAAGGAGGCTAATGGCATACTGGACTGCATTGGTAGGTGTGTTGCCAGTAGGTCAAGGGAAGTGATTATTCCCTACTACTCAGCTCCAGTAAGACCACATCTGGAGTGCTGTGTTCAGTTTTGGGCCCCCACTACAGAAAGATGTGGACAAATTGGAGAGAGTCCAGCGGAGGGCAACAAAAGTGTTGAGGGGGCTGAGGCACATGACTTAGGAAAGACTGAGGGAACTGGGCTTATTTAGTCTAGAAAAGAGAAGTCTGAGGGGGGATTTAATAGCAGCCTTCAACTACCTGAAGGGGGGGTTTGAAAGAGCATGGAAGTAAGCTATTCTCATTGGTGGCAGATAGCAGAACAGAGCCATAAGGAACGATCTCAAGTTGCAGCAAGGGAAGTTTAGGTTAGATATTAGGAAGAACTTTCTTAGCAGGAAGGCAGGTGTCATAGCCCAACCATTGGCAAAAATTTTCAAAAATTCATGGCGCTCAGGTGAAGTACCTGAAGACTGGAAGAAGGCCAATGTGGTACCCATTTTCAAGAAAGGGCAGAAAGTAGATCCCGGGAATTACAGGCCAATCAGCTTGACTTCAATCCCTAGTAAAATTCTTGAGAAAATTATCAAGGAGACCCTTCTGGATAAGCTGGCTGAGGGTAACATCCTGAGGGATAGCCAGCGTGGGTTTGTCATGGGTAGGTCTTGCCTGACCAATCTCATCTCCTTCTATGACCAGGTGATGTATCACCTGGACAGAGGAGATGAGATTGACGTCATATATCTGGACTTTAAAAAAGCCTTTGATCTGGTGTCCCATGACCTCCTCATGGAAAATTTGGCCAACTGCGGCCTTGATTACACCACAGTCTGATGGCTGGGAAATTGGCTCTGAGGTTGGACCCAGAGAGTAGTGGTCAATGGCAGCAAAACATTATGGTGCTCTGTGACCAGTGGCATCCCCCATGGCTCTGTCCTTGGACAGGTTCTCTTTAACATCTTTATCAATGATGTGGACGTTGGTGTCAGAAGCACACTGGCTAAGTTCTCCGATGACACTAACCTTTGGGGCATAGCGTCCACGCCTGAGGACAGGCTAGTGATCCAGGCTGACCTGGATAAACTTAATAAGTGGGCGGATACAAACCTGATGACATTCAATACCAATAAACATAAGGTACTCCGCTTCGGCGAAAAAAAACCCCATAGCATGCTTATAGGCAGTGCTACACTTGCTAGCACCACTGCTGTAAGAGACTTGGGAGTCATGATTGACCACAAGATGAACATGAGTCACCAATGCAATGTCCCAGCTGGTTAAGCAAACAAAACCCTGGTTTGCATCCAGGGATGCTTCTCAAGTAAATCTCAGGATGTCATCCTCCCGCTGTACTTGACCTTGGTGAGGCTGCAGCTGGAGTACTGTATCCAATTCTGGGCTCCGCAATTCAAGAATGATGTCGAGAAGCTTGAGAGAGTCCAGAGAGCCACACGCATGATCAGAGGGCAAGAGAATAGGCCTTATGAAGAGAGGCTGAGAGCCATGGGACTCTTCAGTCTGGAAAAGTGCAGGCTCATGGGGAACCTGTTGGCTGCTTATAAGTACATAAGGGGTGTACATCAGGATCTGGGAGAACATCTGTTCACCAGAGCGCCCCAAGGAAAAACAAGGACCAGTGGTCATAAACTCCTACAAGACTATTTTAGGCTGGACATAAGGAAAAGTTTCTTTATGGTCCGAGCCCCCCAGACCTGGAAGAGACTCCCTCCAGAAGTGGTGCAGGCACCTACTCTGGACTCATTCAAGAAACGCTTGGACGCTTATCTTGCTGGGATCCTTTGATCCTAGCTGACTTCCTGCCTCTGGGGCAGGGGGATGGACTTGATGATCTTCGAGGTCCCTTCCAGCCCTAACGTCTATGAAATCTATGAAAAACACTGGAACAGGTTTTCCAGAGAGGTGGTGGAAGCTCCATCCTTGAAAGTTTTCAAAACCTAGCTAGACAAAGCTTTGGCTGGGATGATCTAGTTGGGGATGGTCCTGCTTTGAGCAGGGTGATGGACTAGATGACCTCCTGAGGTCCCTTCAAACCCTCACTTTCTGTGATTCTATGAGTCTATGACTGCAGATACACCACTGCTCTGAGGAAGCTTGTGCCTGTTGGATATTTATTGGTACTGGTTAGCAACAGGGGGCTGCTATGTGGAATCTCATGGCTGCCAAGTTTACTTGTGGTATGGGCAGGTAGAGGGCACTATTGTGAAGAAACTCACAGCTGCATCTATCACTCCTGGGTTGGCATGGACAGGACACTGCTGTGAGGAGGTTTTCCCAACTTGCAGCAACAGGGCATCAGTGTGAGGAATCTCACAGCTTCTGAGGTGTCGTTCTGAGAAGAGCAAGTCTGAAGAAAACCCCAGTTGCCAAGATCTTTCCTGGTTGTCCATGGACATACCACTGCTCCAGCAGTGTTCACACGTGCTAGATTTTCTACTGATATTAGCCATAACAAGGAGCTAATTTGAGGAATTTCATGGCTTCTGACATCTCCCATGGATTTGGCAGGGGAGTTGAATTGGCCAGCCACAGGAAGCCACTGTGAGGAAGTTCCCAGCTTCAGGGAAACTTCTGGGTTGGGCAGTGGCAGGTCACTATGACAAGAAAGTGCAGAACAGCAGAAGTATTTCCCAAGTTGGGCAGTGACAGGCAACTCATGTAAGGAAGCAAATGTTATCACCAAAAACCCAGGACCATTCCAGAGACATGGCTATAGCCCACCTGTGATCAGGACCTCTTTTTCAAGCTTAGGCACAGAATTAAGGGACAGTGACAATTTCCTTAATGATTATCCTTTTTGTATACCGTGTCAAGATACAATTACACTTCCTGATGATCTTTCATTCCCTTTTAACAGGTAAAGTTTTACTGTACTACTTCCAAGTCAGGTAGAGGCAAATGGCAGGTTTATAACTCAATGTGTTATTGATTACATCCCAAAGCACAAGAATAAACACTGCTCTCAATGCCTACCTAGCTATGGGCATCCGTACAGAATCTCACCTATACTATCTTGGGAGACACAGAAGGGAGGAAGAAGGTGGCATCCAGACTGGCAGCAGGTTGTTTTGAATTTGCTGAGATCTTCCAAAATCCCCCTCTTCTCATTTATATTCAGTATATATACACACAGCTTATTTTAATACATAGTTTTGTCCAGATCTCTTTGTTTCACTGATACTTTGCAAACTAGACTGAACCGGTTTTTCTATGAACTTTGAAGATGCCAATTAGATGGGGTCTGTGTCCTTGTGAAAATTACAGTTCTGGGAGAAAGGACTTCTTATCTTTTTCCTTCACCATCTGGGAATACGACTTGCCATGTTCTGTTTTGGTTTTTTTCGCTTTGCTGTCAAAATCAGTGATAACACATCTGCAAAGGCTCCCTCTGAAACAGGCTTTGGGGCTTTCTGCTTTAGCCGCATTTCTGTATCTTAGCCTAAGTTCTCTGAAAAGGCCAGGGCTAACAACAAGTAGTTTTGCTGATGGACTCTCGGCTTTTCCTCTGTGCTCCTGGATTCATACTCCCAGGGCAACTTTAATTCACGCCTTTATTTCTTTTCTATACATAACATACATTTTGCCTTTACCATAGCCAGTTAACAAAGACATATTATTATTGCAGTATGATTCCAGCAAACTATGTACAATTAAATTTTTAATAAAAGGCAAAACATCAGTTGTTACTTTTAACTTCCATTAAGTGTTTTCCAAAAACAGTTATTCACACTTGAGTTAGCTTAATGTTAGTGGTCTTGATGAACAGATTCTTGTTCTATTTTCCCAGGATACTGGTTGTGACTTAAATGTAAGTTTATTGATTATTGATTTTATATCATCTTAAGCACATATTATTTGTAATTTAGGCTTTTGCTAGTAGTAGGCCTGCACTTGTCAGTGTGGTCTGCCAGGTACTGACCATGTTTACAATACTGGATCTTGAGCAGGAACCTGGAAATGCTGTAGGGAACCTCACAACTACCACATTCCCTCTTGGACTTGGACAGCCACTGCTGCAAGAAAGCTCACCACTCTGAGGTCTCTGGTTGGTAATAGGTAGACCACTGCTCCTGGATTTCCTACTGAGTGGCAGGAAATTGCTATGAGGAAGCTCACTGCTGAGAGTACCTCTCCTAAGATAATACACAGAGCACTGCTATGAGGAAGTTCACCACTGCAGCAGTCCCTCCTAGGTTGGCCAGAGATAGAGCACTGCTGTGAAGAAGCTCACTGCTGTGGTGGGTCTTATCTAGATTACGCAGGGAGAGCACACTGGTGGGTAGAAGTTCACAGCTTCCAGGACCTGTCTTGGGTTGAGTAAGGACAGATCACGCTGTGAAGAAGCTTACAGCTGACTGGTTTTTTATGGCAGTATTGCGAGGAAGCTCAGTGTTTCTGGGGTATCTCCTGAGTCTGGTCAGGACAGAGCAGTACTGTGAGGGAGGCTTATTCTGGTAGCACTGTGGAGAAAGAAAGAAAACCATTACTGCCTTCCAGTGTGAAGGGTAGGGAATTGCTTCTACCTTACAGCTTCCCATGCTGAAGTGGAGATACTGGGATCACTGCCAGCCCTGACTGCAGCCAGGGGACTCTTAATGCAGCAAGAAACCTATCAATGGGACTGCTGTATAAATTCAAACTGGGGTGGGGGTGGTAAGCTAGAGAAGGACCAACCCGGAGAAAGAGTCCAGAGTCTCCACCTTTGTCACTGTCTCACTCTTCCTGCTATTCCTCCCTCAATCTGTGTAGTATTGTATTCAGGTCCTCTTTCCTCTCTCAGTTTTGTTCTGTGATGCCTCCCAACCTGACCGGCTACTACCGCTTTGTCTCCCAGGACAACATGGATAATTACCTTCGAGCTTTAGGTAACTCCACTCTTCTCCTCTTATTGCTTCTCCCTTCTGTATCCCACCCTCCCCTCCCCACTCTGCAAAATGATGAGCCCCCACAAGCAGGGGTAGGATTTTTGTTCCCCTTTCTGTCCATTCATTTTATTCTGATCCTGTAATCCCACCAGTATGAGCAGAGGGACTGTGATAAAGGCACCTGGAATCTGAGGAATAGTCTTGTTGCAGGGAGGTAGAAGTTATGGAAGGGACTGCAGGGAGGGAACCAAGGAGGAGCAAGGAAGGGCACTGCTGTGAGGAAGCTCACTGCTGCCAGCATCCTATTCCTTGTCCCATCTCATCTCCCCAGATATTAATGTGGCCCTGCGCAAACTGGTTTGCCTCCTGAAGCCTGATAAGGAGATAATCCACACAGGAGATCATATGACCATCCGCACAATCACCTCACTGAGGAACTACGTTATGGACTTTGACCTGGGAATTGAGTTTGAAGAGGATCTAGGGCCAGTGGATGGACGCAAGTGCCAGGTGAGAGGTTTGTGGGAACAGATCAACATTTGGAGGGCAACTCAGCTACAACCACTAGCAAGCAGTTTGACTAGTAACTGGAATTTAGTAGGCAAGCCTGTTCCTAATGTGAGTCAAAAGAGAATCCAGCTCAGGGGTACCCTTGTCTCTGCAGACCTAAGCAAGGTGAAAAAAGCAGGGCTCTCTCTTGCTACCTATGATAAACAGGAAATTTAAGTTAAAATTAAATGTAAAATAGAGCTATCTGGAGTTTCAGCATTCAGATACCCTTAACTCTGTCCTCTGTTAGAAGTACCCTGAAAAATCCAAAAATCAGATGGCTTGCTGGAACAAACAGATTTGTCCTGTCACATGAAAGGCTGGACCCTCTAAGATGCTGGAGTCACTCTGTACTCATGAAAGTCAGAGCAACTCAAAATAAAATGTAAAAAAGCCTCTCAAAATCAGTGACTACATTTCAAAATATGTCCCAGAGAGAGCTCAAGTATGAGGGGAGTGGGTAAGTGGAAAGGTAATGGTAAACATCATATACAAAAATAGACATGAGCAGGGACTCTGTCTTTTTTTCCCATGACTGATGGTGCCTCCTGTCTCTTCACCCATTCTTTTCAGACAACCGTCTCCTGGGAGGAGGATCAGCTTGTGTGTGAGCAGCGAGGAGAGAAGAGAAACCGGGGCTGGAGACACTGGTTAGAAGGGGACCTGTTACACCTGGTGAGGTGGAGCTCAGAGCAGGATGTCATGTTAACAGCCATGATAGAGAAATCCAGGGGTGCCTATACATGTGCAGGAAGGCTGCTCTGACACGCTTTAATTATAGCATATCAGAGCAGACTTGGTTAATCGAGTCTGCTGGGCCATGGTAATAAACAAACTCCAACAGACTCCAGCATCATGTGTATCAGCATCCCTGCACTGAAAAATGGTGGTGGGGACACTTTAAGTAGTTAAAGTATCCTTGCCACCATTTTTCAGCATGGGGACGCTGACACACATGACACTCCAGGGACTTTAATTAGAGCAGCTCTCAGAGCCGCTCTGATTAAAGCACCCATTCCCAGAGCATCTCTATAAATGCCCTAGGAGATGCAACAAGAAGATGCTGAAGGCTCTGCCTCCTCCTGTGGATCCCAGTCTCAGTCTCCAGAGTTTCTCTGGGGCAACAGCTGCTTCACAAAAACATCCTCCTATAGGGTTCAAAAGTTGAGTTGGCGGAGCTCACTGGGATCCAGCCAATGTCCCTTTCCTGCCCTGAAATCCGACCGTGGCTCCAGGGGTTCTGAGAGGGAGAGGAAAAAGAAGAATTGGACACAAGGTTTCCTGTGTCTAACACTGAAATCTCAATAAATCTTCAGAAACAAAGAGAGAGAGAGAGAGAGAGAGAGAGAGATGGAAACAGCAGGGAGGGACTGGTGGGCAGGAGTGGGAGGCTCAGTCTGAACTGCCTGGGGAGCTGCAGGCAGGAATAGCAGGAGCATCTCCTGCAGGGCAGAGCTGTGTGGAGAGCCCAGGACTGGAATAGCAGAGACAGGGCCAGGGCCTGTGAGGCTGAATTAAGGGATGCTATCAGAGCTGCATGGGGAGCCCAGAACTAGAATGACTGTGGGGCTGTGGGTTAGAATTGAGGAACTTTGGCAGGGATGTGTGGGAAATGCAGGCTTGGGAGAGGTCTGTGGTTCAAGACTGAGGGGCATTGGCAAAGCTGTGTGGACATGGGGGCAGAATTGGAAAATGTGGGAGCTGTGGGTAAGGGTTGAGAGACCCCGTCAGGTCTGTCCTAAGTCTCCTCTTTTATGTTATTCTCCTTCCCAGCGCATGACAGCAGAAGATGAGGTTTGTGTTCAGATTTTTCAAAAAGTGAAGTAACCACAGCAGATAAGGTATCAAGAATTGATCCATTTGAGCAGGACCAGCTTTGTTGCAGAGCCAAAATCAAAGCTAACAAATCTGTCTCCTATGTCACACTTCAAACTGCCTTTGGATTAAAGAGATACAAGTGGCCAAAACCTCTTTTGTAGTAATTGTCTTCATTGCCGCCAATGTTTGACTTGCATCTCACTAAGGACCACACCCTAAGTAATACCTGGGTTAGGTTCCCTGGCCCATTTTCCCACTCCATATAGGAGCAAGGAGCCTTGCTGAGCACAGTATCTCCTTAAGTGAGTTCACTGTGCTACCTGTGAGAAGCACAGATTTCTTTGTGTTCTCCCTCAGTATTCAGGCACTGGAAGAGACAGGAAGCATGCAGTGAGTAGAAACTGGCTCCCCTTCTGGGTTGCCCCCAGGAAAAGAAAGATTACAGGAGAAGGAATTTCCAGCCGCTGGGCCAATCTGCTGATGGGGTGGGGAGGGGAAAAAGAAGAAGTCATGCAAGGTTAGAGAAGTGAGATGGAAGTCAGGCTGTGGGGTGGGAGGGAAATGGGGCTTCAAGTTTCACTGAGATCCTTTCAGAATAAGAGCTCTCACGTCTGAGATAGAAGGGAAGGGCGGGTGAAAAGGAAGAGTCACTGCGTGGCTGACTCCAAATGTAAGAATCCAGAGAACAGGAGAACACACACTGAGTGAAGGTCAAAAGCAAATCCCCCCCTTGCTTCTTGGGGGAGAGCTGTGCAGTGGCTGATACACAGATGGGACTGCCTAAGATTCTTGTCTAGTCTTATTTGTTCCTCTGCTACCTTTCCTCCCTGAGACCCCTCTGAACTCTGTTCAGTCTGGAGTTGGAGAAAAGAGGGAAAGGGTCAAACCCCTCCAGTCACATTCAGAGGGAAGATGGCATTGTGTTATCGGCCCATCCCAGTGCAGTCCACAGGAATAATGCTGCCCTGACCCATAAAACAAGCCCCTGATGTTTTTAGAGCTCATGCCGAGTCCTCCCGGGCACTGCTGATATCCTCCTGGCCCACAGCATGTTCTGCCACTCTACTTGCTCCCACTCACACCCCACAAGTCCCCCTGGGTTTAAATACAGACTTGAATCAAACTTTGTCTAAAAATAGTCTTGCCAGCCAGCTGAGTCAAAAATCAGGAGCCAGGAAATCCCCAAATCATTTGATTTTAGGAAATAGTAAAGTGTGGATTCTTTTTATTTGATTCTTTTGGGGATTTGGTGCTTTTGGGGGCGGCTTTTTGCTGCTGTCTCAAAAGCTAGAAACTAGAAATCTGTTTATTTAAAGCAAGGATGTCAACTTCATCTGGCCCTCAGGGCCAAATGAGGGTTATTGGGCCAGTCTGGAACCAACCCCCTACCCCTGGCCATGCAGCACCAACAGCACTGGGTCCCACCCACCAGCCTCAGGGCATGCTGTGCATGCAGCATACAGGGCTGGCATAGGACACATGCTGCCCTCAGTGCACAGACTGCACCTTTTTTTTATTAAAATATATTTCTATATATATAGAGAGAGAGTTATATATATACATCCCCTATCATAAGCTTTCCATCACACACCTTAAATCCGCATTAAGAAACCCACACTTCCTGTTTCAATAAATGCACACAATCCCCTGCGCACCCTCCCTCTACCCTCACCTACCCAAATCACAGTCCTTTAGTCCAAACCCCTATTTGGGGTTTACAGTCTCAGTTCATTCACTGTCCTTGTCACCGTCACTGTTGATGTCACTGTTGATGTTACTGTCATTTCTGCTGATGATGATTCTGTTGTAGTCCTTCTAGCTGTCTCCAGGTCCAATTGCATCTCTGTTCTCTTCATTCTTTTTGTCCACTTCCCCTCCTGGGGGTCTTTGAACAACTTGTGCCAGGTGTTGCTTTTCCAGATGGAGTTGGCTATGTCTTCTCCAGCCTTGCCCACCGATTTCTGGTGGTAGGACTGAAGTTTGCTCAGAAACATTTTAACACAGTCTGTTTCTTTGAGCTTGGCATGCCTGTATACCAGGAGGTTCCTGCATTGCCACAGGGCGCTCCTGACACAGGACACAAACTGATCGAAACGCATTGTCTGGGACCCCTGCTGCTCAGTGAGGTGTCCATACATCACTGCCTCCCTTGTCATCAGCCTGACTTCTGTCACTCTTTCAAGTAGCTGGCTTACCTTTTCCCACACACTCTTGGCATACGGGCAGTGCCATAGGAGGTGGTCAATGGTTTCTGCTTCTTCTTAGCAAGTTTCCCTGGGGCAATTGGGTCGAATCCCTTGTCCCTCCCTATACCTCCACACCCTCACTGGGAGTACTCAGTGCGCTATCAACCAACCTAAGTCCACACGATCCTTGCAGAGGTCCTTGCGGATTGGCAGTCCTGGTTCCAGATGGCTTAGCAGTCCACATCAGGGAGCAACTCCATGGTTGATAACCTGTCTCTGTCTCTGGCTGCCCTCTGTATCTTTTTGTGGTTGGACGTAGTCACCGGGCTTTCCTTCTGTAACTCATACTTGCTCCAGAACTCATTCAGGACCCTGTAAAACCAAGGCTGCTCCATGGTCCACCACCTCCCTACTGCTACAAGGGGGTAAATCTAGGGTGCCACATGCAGCCCAGGCCCCAGACCCCAGTGCCACGTAGAGTACCCTGAGCCAGTGATCCATAGCCAAATTGTATGGCTTCATGGGCCAGATCCAGCCTGCAGACTGTATGTTTGACACTCATGATTTAACGTGAAAGCTGAGCATGTCAGGTAATCATCTGACTCCCCCAAGCTGGAGCTTAAACATATGTAACCCTGCTTATGTTCCTCCCATCTGACTCTGGCTCTGTTTTATAATGGTAGCTTGTGTGTTTTTCATCTGCATACCCTCATTAGTATGCAGGTTTGGGGGACTTCAAATCATAGAGTCATAGAGAAGTTGGGCTGGAAGGGACTTCCAAAGGCCATCTAGTCCAAGCCCCTGCCCGAGGCAGGATCATCCCCATCCAAACCATCCTATCTATACAACCATAATCTGAACCCTACATAAGACTACCCTCAACCCTGACACAACACAGACCTAACACCCTCACCTGTCACGGGTAAAGCAGAGGAACCACAGCAGCCAATGTCGTGCTTCTATAAAATGTCAATATATGCTCAAGAGATCCTGGGTAGAGGGCCACACCCCCTGCTACAGAGGAAGGCAAAAAGTCCCACAGTCTATGCTGTGTTGTTCTCAAAAGACCAAGGAGTTAAACTTATAGAACAATTAAGCTTGTTTACTTAGAGAGCCATCTTAGCCTGCTTCTCTGCTGTTCCCTTTGGTTCCTGCAAATGTAACAACTTATACATAACACTTTTAAAGGTATCTACATGTCTTCCCCCAATACTAACTTTGGCAGTTTAGTTCAACCCATAGTTAAAGCACATTTTAGCAGGTCTCTATTAGTCCTTGTGTTGGCTTTTTAGCTCTAAGTGATCTTCGCAGATTCTCTGCATACTCAATCTGTATTGGTTCAGTTGTTGTTTGGTTTCCTTGTTCAGATGTCTGTATTTGTGTGTCATTTTCAATCTCCTCTGTCATTTCTTGTTGCTTTGTTGCTAGCTCTGTTTCCTTCAGTGAATCTCATGATCACAGAATCCTAGAAAGTGAGGGTTGGACCTCAGGAAGTCATCTATTCCAACCCCCTGCTCAAACCAGGACCAGCCCCAACTAGATCATCCCAGCCAAAGCTTTATCTGACTGGGTTTTGAAAACTCCCAAAGATGGAGCTTCCACCACCTCTTTGGGTACCTGTTTCATTGTTTTACTACTCTCCTAGTGAGAAAATTCGTCTTAATATCTAACCTAAACTTCACTTGCTGCAATCTAAGACTGTTGCCTTGTTCTGTCATCTGCCACCACTGAGAATAACTTACTCCATCCTCTTTCAAACCCGCCTTCAGGTAGTTTGAAGACTGCTATTAAGTCTTCTCAGTCTCTTCTTCTCTAAACTAAATGAGCCGCGTTCACCCAGTCTTTCCTCGTAAGTCATGTCTCCCAGCCCCCTCACCATTTTTGTTGCCTTCTGTTGGACTTCTCCAATTTGTCCACATCCTTTTTGTACTGCGGGGAATGGGGGAGAGGGGACAAAACTGAACACAGTACTCCAGATGTGGCCTTATCAGTGCTGAATAGAGGGGAATAATCACTTCCCTTGACCTGCTGGCAACACACCTGCCAATGCAGCCCAGTACGCCGTTAGCCTTCTTGGCAACAAGAGCACACTGCTGGCTCATATTCATTTGATTGTCCACTGTAACCCCCAGGTCCTTTTCTGCAAAGCTGCTGCCCAGCCAGTCAGCCCCCAGCCTGTACCGGTGCAAGGGATTGTTCCATCCTAAGTACAGGACTTGGCACTTGTCATTGTTGACCCTCATGAGATTCCTTTTGTCTCAATCCTCCAGTGTACCTAGGTTCAGCTTGTTCTGTTTTTTCTTCCAGCTTCTGCAGCCTGGGATTTGTTATTTCAGTTTACTTGGCACATTCTAACTACCTTTTCCAAATTAAGCTCAGCATCCTCTAGCAATCTTTTCCTGACGTATCTCTTATACCTAATACTATTTGATTTCTGATCATGGACTCTTTTAGATCTCCAAAGTTGCATATCTGTCTTAGAAGTCTGAGATCTTTGACAGACTCCTCTATCATCTCACATTCTTTCTACTGTCTCATGTGGAAATTGTACCATTCATAGGTTTCATTTTGTTTAGGTATACAATATTCCTCAAACTTTTTTATTACTGTGCCACAGCTTTTCTGTTCTGCTTCTGACAGTTGTAGGCTATTACAAAGAGACAGAGAGCTTTTGGGCCTGCTATATTTAAAAAATAGCTACCTTGAGTGGATCTATCTTCTCTGTAGTTCCACTGGCCATCATATATGGAGCTCTGCTTAAATTTCTCCGGTTCTCTGCTGCATTGCCGGACAGCTTTAACTCCTCTGGAATTCTGAGAGGCTCCATTTTTATTTCTCATATCCTACTCTTGGTTCCATGTATTCTTCTCAAAAGACCAAGGAGTTAAACATATAGAACAATAAAGTTTGTTTATTCAGACAGCCCTCTTAGCCTGCTCCTCTGCTGTTCCATGCAGTTTCCTTCTACTGCTCTGAGGCAAAGGTATTTATACATTAAACTCTTAAAGGTTTCCACAAACATACCGATCTGACCATGGGGTAAAATTCCTTCCTGATCCCAAATATGATGATTGATGTGACCCTGAGTGGAGGGGAAAGACCCTCTAGCTAGGAACATCCACCTTTGCTCCTAGCAGAAGAACTGGCACACCCCAATTGAAGTCCCCAGCCCTCACTGTAGCCAATGTCCAAGGCCTCTAGGGAGGCTTAAAAACCCTCTGACGTGTATAGCAGAAAAAGTGGGGATGGGCAGGAGCAACCAGCAAAGCCCAGAAACGTAGGAAATACCTGTGGTAGAAAATAGGCATAGCTACGCCTAGATCATCCCTGACCAATGGCTGTCCAACCTCTTCTTGAACACCTCCAGCGATGGAGTCTGCAACTTCCCTAGGCATCTATTCTACTGCCTCCCTATTCTCACAGTGAAGAAGTATTTCTGGATATCCAATCTAAATGTACTTTGCTTCAACTTCAAGCCATTGGTCTACAACCTGATCTCTGCAGCAAGAGAGAAAAGATGCTTTCCCTCTTCTTTATGGCAGCCCTTCAAGTATTTGCCTGTTTTCACTGATTGTGGTTGGGTGTGAAGCGTATGAAGGGTGTGAGGAGTGTGAAGGGTGTGAAGGTTCCAGATAGGGATTACACTGTGGATAGCCTTGTGGTTCATCAGTTCTTCAAAGGAAAGTACATGTTCCGATAGTGGGTTCAGAAACAAACCTGATACTTATTATTACTAAAAGAGATGAAAAAGATCCCTGAACCTACTACTGACATATGTCAGGGTCTAAAGGAGCTGGGGTTGTATAGCAGCCTGAACAAGAGCAGAAGAGGTAGAGACCCCAGCAGAGGAATGGCAGAGGAGACCCCTGAAGGTGGCAGCCAGAACAGCACTCCCTAGCTTCCCACCCTAGCACTGCTGGCTGGCAAAGGTGGTAGAATCTCCGGACGGCAATCCTGGGTGAGACCTCCTTACCAGTTGACTAGGCTAGGGGGTAGCTCTCTGGCTCGGTTTGCTGGTGACTCTGATCTGCTTTGAGCTAACTGTGAGTGTGATCTGTTTAAGATATAGTTAAGGGTTAATCGTTAAGTTTTTCTTAAGGCATGCGCTTGCTCCTCTTTTCCCTTGTAATAAACCATGTTTTAGTTTAACATTTGCTTGTGAGTGGGGATGTTTGCACATTAGAACACCCAGTTAATGTTTATTTTCTCAGGTTTCTGGCCTAAAGTTGAACCTGGCCCTTGTTACTTCCATCCAGTGCCTGGCAGAAGGGTTACACATAAATGGGAAATGTGTGGGACTCATGACAAAATCCTAAGAGTTAGAGCTCTGGGAAAAGTCAGTAGCTTCAGCCCTCTCACTGAAGGAGGAAAAGTGGAACTACTTCCTTTGCCCCCTGGATTGGGCTGTGTTCTACTACTGTCTCAGCTTGGCTGTCTCATTACTCCCTGCTCACAGCTTCTCCTAGAAGAGGGCAGAGATGATAACTGAAGGAATGTAGACTTCCTGTAGAACACCTTGACTAGAATGAAGGAAAGCTTCGTTCTACTCAGTACCACAGATTGAAGGGCTCCCCTGTTAAACAAATCCTGGTGGGAACTAAGGAAACCCCTGGAAAATGATGCAGCCACTTAGCTTTTGGATTACTTCTGTCCCCACAGCGGCTTGAAGGTCCGAATTCACAGAAGTATTTAAGGATGCCTATACATGTGTGTGGGGTGGGGGGAGTGTATTTTAATTAGAGCGATTAGCTGCTCTAATTAAAATGGCTCACCGTCACATGTATTAAGCCCCTGTGCATTTAAAAATGGCCACAGGATGCTTTATCGAAGCCTCATTCAACAAGATTTAGCCAGTTTAAAACTTGCGGGAACTTAATACACATAACGGGGAGGCAATGCTGAAGCATTCTAATTAGAATGCGGAGCAGACTCATTTAATCAAATCTGTTACAACATGTTCTAATTAGAAAACAAACGTGCAGGTGTATAGGCAGCCAAAGTGTCTAACTCCCATAGGAATCACAGGCCATGAAGCACCTGAGGATTTGGGCCTAAGTGACTTTTTAAGTTGGTAAAATGCATTTTATCCCCGGTGAGGGACTTTGCAGGGAATCTGCCAGCCTACAAGGAGATTTCCAGGCACTTAAGAATAGAGTGGAGTAGAGCTGTAACTCTGCATGTGAAGACAGCTGCTCCCATGGACACAAAAAATACATGACAGCCAGCTGTGATTCCATTCTTATTCACCCATGGTAAGCTGAGATCACAAAACAGAGCTGTTCAGCCTGGCACTGAAATACCTTTGTAAAAGCTAACTTTGACTTGCAGCTCCTGCCCTCCCTGCCCTCTGTTATTCCAGTCTTAACCATGCACACAATTGGCAACAGTTTCCCACAGAGTTAGATGGATTTCATAGAGTGAGGTGCTTTGTTAGAACGTCCCGTTGCTGTGAGCTTGCTTTGTATGGTGGCCTCTGGGTGCCAGCCCTGTATGTAATTGCCAGTTTCTCTCCCAGCAGTGTTCTTTAGGTGTAAAGTTCCTCACCAGAAATGACTTCTGATTGCAAACTTCCCTGTAAAAAGGACCCTGTCTCTGCAAGCACCTCTGAAAATGATGTCCTGTGCCTTGAATTGTTCCTCACTGGTGGGTGGGTGAGCACCTCCTTCCAAATGATGGCATGTTGCCACAATTGTCCCATGGCTTCAGGCTCCCTGCCTGGCATACTCTAGATCTGCGTGAACTTTTCCTTTGTGGTTTGATAAAGTAACTTTAAAGAAAACTTACTGAGACAATGTAGTCGTTTTAGAGCTATTTGAAAATCAGGAAATTCTAAGCATAAAGCTCATGTCCAAAAGTACAAGAATATTGGACATAGGACTTTGTCTTTTTTTACCTGTAATTCCTAAAAAGATTTGCATTTTAAGTGTTTTCTGTTCCGAGTTTCTTTTCACATAACTTCATAACTTCGGCCTTGTCTATCCTGTTTCTCAAGGAAGATGCTATGGACAACTTCAGAACAAAGAGCAAGGCCTAATCAACTAAGGAAGGGAAAGGGGATATTTGCAGGTTTTAAACATTTTTCTTTGGCTTTGTTAAAATCTATTTAACTCAAATACAATGGTAAAAAAGATCACTGTTTTAAAGTTTTCAAATCCTGGCTCTTCATTGAAGAACCTGCTGATTTACAACTCGGAGGCTTCTGATGAGTCTTTCAGCAAAGCATAGAGGAGAAAACCTGACATTTTTAATAGTTTGATATTTTTAAAGTAAGAAGAGACAGTTTTTAAGACTACAATTTCTGGCCTTCTTCCCATACCTGGATAAAATGCCAAAAAAAGAAGCAAGGAGGGAAGCAATGGTCCTATATCTGTTACCCTTGTAGGAGTTCTTAAAAGCAACCCCCCAATTGTGTTTGGATGTAGGAAAATTCAGTTAAGTGTCTTTTTAACAGCTAATGATGTTACTCATTTGCTGCAAAGAGGGTTCTGTTACCACAGTTGTTCTGTTCACATGTAGACACTGCACAACCCGTACCAAAACTCTTAGTTTTTGATCTGGCAGTCAGTACCACAGTTCTAGCAAAGGAACAGCAGAGGGCAGCAGAACCTGTGTTAACAAAACCCATTGGCCCTGCCAGTCTCTTTTTAGTTTAACTGTCTCTTCCCTCCCTCTCCTCTGGGTCTCCCCCCACCTTGCTATCTGAGTTAAGAGTTTCGATTTGGTTACAGCTCTCAAGGTCTGGCTAGAACATTTGGAGGGGAGAGAGGGAGAGACACACACACATCAGACAAGCCTAGGACCATGTGAGTGCTGGCAATTTAGGGAGGGCTGGGCTGGCATCTTGGTGAGGAAGAGGACTAAAGGGTTAGATTTTCTGGGGAAGGAAGGAGATAAATGCACATCATCCCATTACTGTTGTGAATGCTCATGTTAGGAATGGCCCAACGGTGTAGAGCAGTGAGGCTGTCAGAGGAGCGCTGGTGGCCCCACTCCCATAGTAACTCAGAGTGCTAAGAGGGTTGGAGGCAACAAAGAATCTGCCCAAGTTCTTGAACCAAGCTTAGGGTCCAGTAGAGAGGGAGAGGGTGCTATCTGGAGCTCACGCTGTTCTCCTTCTCTCAGTGGCGGTGCTGCAAGTCTCCTTTGTAGCTGAGGGACCTAGATGCGACTGAATAGATGGAGCTAAATTGGGGGCTCTGTGGAATTGCTCTCCTATGACTAAACTGAGGTCACAACCTTTGGACCCTGGGGAGCTGTGCTGGGCGAGCTCTTAGGTGACAACATACAAAAACAACCTGTTGGCCTAGAGTCAAGAGGAGGAGCAACCATGTGAGCCATTATGGCTGAAATTCTTGCACCCTCCCTCACCCCACCCTCAGTTCCAAGAGACCCGGTTCCAAGTTGTCTCCCCTGAAATTGGTTCCTGGCCTGATCCATTTTCTTGGCTTGGTGCATATCACCCAGCTGGTACCTGATTCACCCCTCTGTATCTCTGATGCTTCATAGGTTTCCTTGGTTCTTAGTGACCAGGGATCAACATCTGGTGTCTTGTGCCTAGAGCCAGCTCAGCCATGGGGCCATTAGGGGGCTCCTCAGCCTCCTGTGAAGTCAACTCCAGTTGTGAATAACCCAGCTCTATGGCTAGTCCACAACTCGCCTTCCCATGTATGCTGTGTTTACAGGCTTTTCCCATTTCTACTGTGGGAGTCCCTCCTCTTTGGAGTGATCAGTTCCAGTCAAACCCCAAAAAAGCTGTTTGGGGAGATCACATCTCCCAGTTATCCCAAGCCATACCCTAACAACAACATCAGCAGCTGGGACATCGTGGTACCAAAGGGCTTTGTGGTGAAGCTGACCTTCTGGCAGTTTGACCTGGAGCCATCTGAGTCCTGCTTCTATGACTACGTCAAGGTAAGACCTGGGGTGTGGTGTGAATGGGGAGAAGAAACTAGCGACTTCCAGGTGCAATGAGATGCCCCCTCACCTGTCTAACAGAGGAAACAGAGGGAGTTAAAAGGATGGTGATACAAGGAGCAGAGACTAACCAGATAGTGGCAGTGCACAGAGTGGACTGAACCTCACAAATTCTAATGATATCCCTTTCCCATCATTCCTCTGGATAGATCACCGCAGACAAGAAGGATCTGGGCCGGTACTGTGGCCAGCCAGGCTCAGCCAAGGGCAACCACCCAGGAACCAGGGAATTTGTGTCCAAGGGGAACCAGATGAGGCTGAAGTTCCAGTCTGACTTTTCCAATGAAGAGAATGGCACCCTCATCCCCTACAAAGGATTCTTGGCCTATTACCAAGCAGTGGGTGAGTAGGAGATAGCCACACAATAAAAAGGGAGCACATAGGGCTGGTACCATCTATCCCCTGATGGAAGAATAAAGAGGGGCCTGGTCCCAGTCTACAACAGTTTGAGGTACTGGACAGGATCCCGACTCAGAGTCCTGTGAATCTAGAGCCTTTGGCATTTATACAGAGCTGTTTGCCTTTATGTCTGCACCTGCTCTCTCCTTAGATCAGGATGAATGCACCCATGGTAATGCCATTAAGGAAGAAGAGGGTCCTCAGTGCCAGCACACCTGCCACAACTACATTGGTGGCTACTTCTGCTCCTGCCATCCTGGTTACCAGCTCCAGAAAGATCAGCACTCCTGCAAAGGTGAATGGAAAAGGGGGAGATCAATGCAGAGAGAGAAAGGGCTGAGAGCAGGAGCCTGCTGGTGAGGATGAGAGGGGGAGGAGTGACTTAAGAGGCAATAAGGGAAGAGGACGCATATTGCCTCCCTTGGTACACACTGAAGCCCTGGCTCTTTTCCCCTTTCCCCAGTGGAGTGCAGCAATGAGCTGTTCACAGAGGCATCAGGATACTTGTCAAGCCCTGAGTACCCTGAGCCATATCCCGCAGAGCTGCAATGCAAATACAGCATCCGCCTGGACAAAGGTCTGAGCATCACCCTCAAGTTCTTGGAGCCCTTTGATATTGATGAACACCAGCAGGTCCATTGCCCCTACGACCAGCTCAAGGTACTAGAAATTGGCAAATGTCTCTTTCCAGCTCTGCTGGCACACTGGAGCATCCATGGGGCCAGGACCACTGGGAGGAAGAATTAAAGATTAGCAAAGGAGGAATGACCCAGGCTCTGGGGCAGAACTGTTTCCCTCAGTCCATTTGCTAGGACCTCTCATTTCCACTGCCCTGAACACTGGGGATTCAAGGCCTTCCTGGACCAGTGCTGGTCTCATTTGCTTTTTTCACAGAAATCATAGAAAACATAGAGAAGCAGGGCTGGAAGAGACCTGTTCAGGTCTAATTCTCTGCCTGAGGCAGGATCATATCCATACCATCCTATACATATCTATAATCTAACTCTTAATAAAACTACCTTCAACCCTGAGACAACACAAGACTTAACACACTAACCTGCAAGGAGACAAGGGCATCAATATCTTGCTTTTGTAAAAGGTTGTTAATACGTGCTCAAGAGATCCTAGGTAGAGGGCCACATCCCCCACTACAGAGGAAGGCAAAACCCCCCACATTTCACACCAACCTTTCACCTCCTCTCACCTGCTAACGCTCTTGCCTCTTCCCTAGATTCATAATTAGATGGGATTGTAGGTCTGAACCCAAGATGGGAGAAGCAGGTAAACCTGATTGGACAAGCCAGCTGGTCTGATCTGATGGTGGACATAAGGCTGGGTGGGTCAGAGAGCCAATGATTTATCCACCCCTTCTCCCCCGCAACCGTGCAGCTGCGGAGGAAAGCACTGGGCCCCTGCACAGCTCAGGCAGGCAGGCAGGCAGGCTCCAGGGAGAAAAGAAAAAAAAGATCAGACTCACTGCTTTTTTTTTCCTTCAGTGGAGCTTGTTTGCATGGTCTGCCACCAGGCTGCCTATACAGGCTGCCTGCATAGCCCCGGAGCTGCACAGGGCTTGGTGCTTCCCTCCGCGGCTGTGGCACTTTGTTAGGTAGCAAACTAAAACACCTGAGAGGTGTTTTTTTGCTATGTCCCAACATCATTTAACAAGTAATACGCTGCCAAGAGTGTAAACAGCAGCACCATTAAAGCAATGCAAAACGGCATTTAAGCCACTTCAAAGGCCAATTTTGTGGTGTGTACAGAGGCCCTATAAGATCAAGTGATGGAGCAAACAGACCTGTTGGTCTGGCCTGACTCAGGGAAGGAAGTGGAAACTCTGTGGTGGAGGAGTATGTTGGTCTGATTCTGGCCCCTGTAAATCATCTTTTCCTTCCCAGGTCCAAGCAGGAGGAAGACTGCTTAAAGAGTTCTGTGGCAAGGTGTCACCTGGCATCATTGACACGAACAGCAACGAAGTGGACATTTTGTTCTTCACGGATGAGTCGGGGTTCAGTCGTGGCTGGAAGATCCACTATAGCTCAGAAAGTAAGGTATGCCTTGCCCTGAGCTTACCTCAGGCCTCTGCAGGCTTTTTGCTAACATCCACCCCATTTCTCCACAGGAATCCGGTGCCCCCAGCCTGTGCCATGGGATGAGTTCACAGTCATCAAAAATCCGCAGCCCGTCTACCAATTTCGCGATTATTTCATTGTTAGCTGCCAGAAAGGGTACAGACTCACAGAGGTAAGACCCCTTTCTCCACTCCTCCTGATCTGTTTTCCACTCCTCTCCTGTCTCTCTTTTTTCTGTTGACCTCACCACACTTCCAGGTATTTCTGTTCTCTTAACTTGTCCCCCTCCACACCTATCACTCCCTTCCTTTCTCATAAAACCAGGCCTTGTCAGGAGATTAGACAGCACAGGTCTGAAGAAAAATTGGGAAGCAGTGATTTCCTTCTGGAAGGCTATGAAAAGCCTCAGCTCTGAGCTCAGGAATCTGACCAAAGGTAGAAGGAGTTACTTACTCCTCTCCTGTACCATTCCTGGGATTGGGTGTATCTATGGCAGACCTGTGAAGAGAATCCAGTTCATGGTTTTGGAGGAAATCAGGAGGAAAGTTGAACAGTAATGAACAAGAAGCATCTCCCCTTTGATTTGGAGTTGGGAATAGAGATGCAAAATTATGTGGGGCCCTTAGTTCTACTTTATTTTTCATGCAGGGTGGCCAGAAGCTGGCATCCTTCACTGCTGTCTGCCAGGATGATGGGACATGGCATCGACCCATGCCACAGTGCGAAAGTAAGTCGACAACTTGAATTATCTTCTCCAGAAGGGCAAGTTGAGGGTTCATCCACTTGGACTAATTTAGTCCTTGTCCTTTTTGCTGAGTTTCATAGATGGAAGCTCATTCACATTAGTCTGATGGTATCATAAGTACCATGAAAATGTCTGTTCCCCCTCACACTGTAGGACTCCATAAGTGATGCTACCCTCAGGGTATAATGCAGCCAACATGCTTCTTACTAACATTTATTTAGTAAAAAATAGCCTTTTCCCCTAACAAGAGAAATTTTGGGCCAAAAAATGAACTGTTTCTAAATGGACCATTTCCCTTCCCTCCCCTGCACCTTGGACTCTGTGAGTCCCCCATGGGGGTCTCAATATCATTCTGGTGATGAGCAAGGTGGCTACATCTGACTCCTCTTCTGGTTCTGTTTTGTAGTTGTGAACTGTGGTGACCCCAAACTTCTAAACAATGGGCATTTCAATTATGTCAGCAAACCTGGGAACAACGAATACCAATCAGCAATCACATACCACTGCAAGAAGCCTTATTACCACCTGGTCACCAAAGGCAGAAGCGGTGAGTTCTGACTGGAAAATCCCATCAGATCCCATATTGCCTTAATTTCTCAGGTCCAGGTCAGCATCAACTCCTATCCATTTACTGGGGCTCCAAGTCTTAGTACTGTATTCTAACTGATGATGTTCTGAGCTGTTCACTTGATGAAACAAGTCCCCAGACTCTCCATACTGAAGAATGTTTCCTGGGTTCTTTTTTTGTGGCTTTCTCCAAGCCCATTCTCACTCTCCAAACAACATCTCTCCTCAGGCACTTTGAGGTTTCACATATTCCATTTCCATGTGATTCCTTCATGCCAGGTGAGCCTAGTTGTTTGAATCTCTTCCCGCCATCCATGTGGAATCAAGGGATCGTGGTTCTTGAACAAGAGGATTTTATCACATAAACTAACATTATAGACCTGGAGCCCAAAGTTCCATTTTAAATTGGCTGTTTCCAGGGGTGGATCCAGGGGTTGTGCAGCAGTACCCTTTGGTTGTGCCCTGCATGCACAATGAACTCTCACAGCTCACGGGCACTTCAGCACAGCTCCTGGTGGGAGCTCTATGAGCTCACCATTGGTCAGTGTGAGCTCTATGCAGAGTCCCTGCTTTTAAGTAGCTCCAGGACCTGCTGTTCATCACTCTTCCCCTCCCTTCTTTCTACCTCCTCCCCTCTGCTCCCCCCACCACCCCTGAATTCATAGGGGAAAGAAGGGGAGAGGCTGATGTGCTTCCCCTGTTTTCATTAAGCTCTGAAGGCTTGGCACTGCCACGGCTCTTTCCATCTTCTCCTTTCCCCTCTGCTGAATTCACCAGTGGGAAAGGGGAGGAGAGAGGGGAAGAATGAAGAGCAGAAGGCTCTGGACTGCTTTAAAGCAGATATTCTGGACAGAGCCTGTCCTGGACTGCTCCGTGCTCATGGCACATGAGAAGCTCCTTGGCATCCAAGATCACAGTGAGGGGCTGTGGCCATACCCGCTTCAGATAAGCTCTCTTCACTGTGCATGTGCCTCACCCCTGAAGGGAGGTAGTCACACCCTTGTCACTGAAATCCTGGATCTGTGCATGGCCATTTCCCAAGGTACACCCTGAGTTTGGAACTCGGTTCCGCACTAGATACATCTAGTGACTGAATGATATTAAAGTAAGCATAGGCTATGTAATGGGGAAGATGAATGCTGAGGAACTATTATGTATTATGTATTGTACTTAAAGGCCTAATAAGTGAGTGGTAATGACTCCCAGTCAATTTTCAAAGATAGAATACCATGCAGTTTCTTAATGAAACACGTAGTAGGCACAAAACTTGATAAACAGGACACAGCATAGCAACGAGCATTTAGAATATTATGGATATTCCAAATATTCATGAGAAACTTGTTAAATGTAAGCCACTGCTGCTCCTCATGCAGGCGTCCCTAATTCATTGCTGTTGCCCATATCAATATATAAAGTTTTGATGTAAACATCATGCTGTTTTACTTCAGCACAGACCTATAAACACATGCCCCTCAAGTTTTCTTCCAGAGTTGGCATGTCAGTCTTCAGAGTATGACCGTACTATTGCAGTGCATGTCATCTGGATTCATTACAGCTCGAGTAGAAAGGTGGCAGCATCTCAGTCCTTTCAAGACACTTTAGAGCCCTATCAGCAAACAGTCTGTGGTTCTCCACAGCTAGTAGCATTCCAGGCCATGGAATAATAGTTTCTGGTCTCCTCAGCACCTGATGAAAAAGATATCTGTAAAAAGATGCAGGTCCTGTGACTAGGTATTAAATGTCAAGCTAGCTTGCTGCAAGGTAACCTGCCTCTGCAGTTGCAGAAGCAGTTATATGAGGCATGTCAGCAAACTGCCACACCCCATTTATGGCTGTTTCTGCGCGTTGCACTAGCTTACCCTGTCCTGCCCCCTGCACAAGTGCAGACACAAAGTGAAAAGCCATGCCTCCAACCCACTACCTCCCTCCCTTTCTTGGAGCCAAAGTCAAACCCAGTCATAAACAGCACATATACACTGCCCCTCTGTCCCCATCAGCATGTGTTTTGCTCTATTTGAAGCAAAAGTTGCTATCTTTCTTGAGCTAAGAAACTCAGATTTGAGCAAAGTAACTCAGGTGGAGACTTCCCAGAGGGTACAGAGAGGAACCATCCCTCCCTGCTTTTGCTGATCTGTTTCTTGGATTGATGGGCCCAGAGCTGAGCACAGCATGCCAGTGGGATGCCTGCCCTGACTGTGAATGACCTCTCCCTGTAGCCTTGGCCTAATTATTTTCTTGCCTCTTCTCACAGATACCTATACCTGCTCTGCCCAGGGTTCCTGGGAGAACCAAGATGGCCATGTGGACATTCCAGCATGTTTACCAGGTCAGTTAGGAAACCACTCTCTTTATCCAGCACTTAGCTATATGCCTTTAGGGTCCCCACACAGTCAAGATATCAGACAGAGAAAGGGATGAACAAGTGGAAGAGATAATAATGTGGGGACTAGATAGTGAGGGAGAAAGGGAAAGAGACAGACTGAGAATGAGAGAAAGCAGAAGCAGGGAAGGTGATGGTACAAAGAGAAAGACAGATCAAGGAACAGAAACTTGCAGTCATTTTGGTTCCTCTCTTCCATTTCACAGTGTGTGGGAAACCAGACAATCCTGTCACTTCAATCCAGCGGATCGTTGGTGGCAGCAGGGCAAACCCAGGAAACTTCCCATGGCAGGCAAAAACACTCATCCATGGCCTCGGGGGTGGGGCTCTGCTGGGTGACCGCTGGATCCTGACAGCCGCGCATACCATCTACCCCAAGAACAAAGAACATGGAATGGAGGCAATTGGGAGAGATGGCGAGGCTCTACTGACTGGGGATGAGGAGGTGTACCTTGGACACACGAATGTGACTGAGATCCTTAAGCTGGGTAACCGACCTGTCCGCAGGATATTTGTGCACCCAGGCTACAAACCTGGCAACAGCCACAATTTTGATGGGGACATTGCACTGCTTGAACTGAAGGAGCCAGTGAAGCTGGGGCGCGACGTGTTGCCCATTTGCCTCCCAGATGTTAAAAACAACACCTTCTACACCACAGGGTACATGGGGTATGTAAGTGGCTTTGGAGTGGAAAAGAACATTCTTCCAGACCATCTGAAATATGTGGCACTACCGGTGGCTGACCGGACAATCTGTCAACAATGGTTGCAGAATAATAACAAAAAGACCATGAATAAGACCATGGTGTTCTCTGAAAATATGTTTTGTGCTGGCTCACCCTCTGCAAATAAAGACACTTGCCAGGGAGACAGTGGGAGTGTCTTCACTGTGCTGGATCCAGAAAGTGAGCGCTGGATTGCTACTGGTATTGTCTCTTGGGGTATTGACTGTGCTAAGGGCTATGGCTTCTACACCAAGATCATCAACTACCTAGACTGGATCAAAAAAATAACAGGAGAGAAGACACTCTGAATGCCAGCAACTGTCTGAAAGCTTAGCAATATCATGTAGACTTCCTAACACCAGCACATTCTTTGTTGAAACTTTGATGATGTCATTAAATCTTCTCAACACTGCTGTCCCATTGGCTGAAACCTTGAAGACACCATAAAAATTTCTGAGGCCACCGCATCATTGCCTGAATTTTGGTGACATTATCAAAGGTTCATAATTGTGCTCTGCTATTGACTAAAGCCTTGCTGATATTCTAAAGCTTCCAAATGTAAGCCTTGATAACATCAGGAAGCCTTGGGTAATCCAACATTCAATTGCCTGAAATTTTGATAATGTCATAAGACTTCTGCAATCTGTTACACTGTTGTTTAAGATGCTTGCAATGTAGCACCCTGTTCTGGATGCTGCTGCACTTGGAGTTGAGTGCAGTTTGTATGCATCCCCAGGTTCTATCAACATTAAAATCACTGCTACCAGAACAAGATGTTTTTATTTAACTGGCTTTTCTCCATTCTCTGTATTTAGTAACTAGTACCCTTTTCCAAGAAGGTTCTCAAATGAGCTTATAGGCTCAGCCATGAGCTCCAGGGTGACCCTCTGCCAACCTGTTCCCTCCTTCCAGACCATACAAGATTTCCCCCACAAAAAACCAGTCAGATCCAGGATGAGTTCCCATACACACATGTACTCATCTCCACATATACTTTTTTCTTTCTCCTTTGCCACATCCAAAGACTTTCTTCCTGCTTTCTTCTTCCAACTCCTCTTTGTGCACAGGTGACTCCTTTTCATTTCCTTTCACATCTTTCACTGTCCTTCAAAATCTCTCTGTCATCATGAGCGCCAGATGGTAGAATCACATCACCTTGAAAAACTGGGTTGACCAAGAATACCTTCAGACCTTCATGGACCTATGTGTGGAACTTGACCCATTACTCTAGCACCACAGCACATAACTCGGGTAACTTGTGCCAGTGCAGAAACAGGTTGCTACTCCTGTCTGGCTAAACAGTTTGGGGGTGGCAAATCAACAGTCAGACTAGGGGCAGTGGAAGTGTTATACTATGGTCAGGGATGGCATCAGGGATGTGCCTGAAGTAAAAGATGACTATCAGGGAAAGGAGTCTCCAAATGGCCTTGGCATCACTGATGCATACACATACCAATCATTTGCCTTCCTGAAGGAGCCAATGAAAATGTTAACTGCAAGGGATACTGCTTTGTTCTGCAGGGTTTCGCAGACCAGAGGGGCAGGTTTGTGCAGACAAATGTGGATGGCTCTGGCAAAGTGCACAACACTGGAGCTCTGAAGAGATCAGGCCTTCTGCTTGTGCTTTTGCAAACTGGGACCTGATTCTTTCCCAGTAACAGTAGTCATCCATAGGACTCTGGTACCAACCTTATTGTGCAGGACACCACCTGTCCTGTATTTGCTTGTTAAGCTCCCAGACAACATGGGTTGCACAGAACATTTAGTCACTTTACCAGAAGCTGCAGAATGGTAGTAAAATAGGCATTTGAAAGATTGAAGGCAAGGTGGCACTTCCTTCAAAAATCACATGATGTCACTATTCTAAATTCTGGCCATATTGTTGTAGCCTGAAGCACTCTGTATGGTGTCACTGATGCTAGAGGTGAATGGTATTACATGGAGCTGAAGCAGAACACTGATGGACTCTGTAGCTGAATCACACCACCATACAGCACCTTTATAGGCAATATTGGTCCAGGTCAGGGGAGGAGAGGGTAATTAAGGATGCCATCTGTGCTCATATTCATGCCAGCTAATGCATGTGTTATGCTGCAGGATAAGAGATACCTCATAACATGTCCCAATTTATGACAAGGTTCATAATTGCCCACTGTAGTTATTTGTAATCATTTTTTTAACCTCTAGAAGTTAAGGGTCTGCTGATGTGCATAAGATGTGCCTTCCCTGATGCATTTTATGGATTCTGGTGAGTAAAGCATTGATTTATTTTTCTGGCAACAAATGGATGTTTTTACATGCAGTTTTCTTCACTAGCTAATTTGTGGTCATGGCATACTGTTTCAGTGGCTTGTGTAGATTGCCTGCTTTTATTTTATATTTCAGTATAATTGTTTTGCATGTCCAGTTTCCTTTATATTACAGGTGGGTGGGCAGTGATAAGTGGTTCCACAAAAAAACTTTAATAAACTGACAAACATGAGCCATGAAACCTTAATAGCAACCAGTAAATGGACTTGTTTTTTTAAAAGTCATGTTTAAACAAAACCAGATGCAAACTGAACTGAAACCAACATGCTGTTTCTGAGGCAGCTGAAGTGCATGAGAAGAATGTACTTCCCCTCCTGTCCTCGCCTTGTTCTCCTTTCCCTGCCTGCCTCTTCTTGCATGCGTGATACAGCACAATACAGACTTACATTGTTTGGCCTCTGCCATTACCCAAGCTGTTCAAGTCCCAGGGGTTGACTGCCATTTCCACATCCTGCACCATCTGCGATCTACTTGCATCATACAGGAGAGGCTGAAGAAATGGGGACTTGAACACCTTCCAGTATCTTATTGAAATATGTGAGCAACACCAGAGAAGAGAAGGGCATATACACCTTCCTGTGTTGTTCCTGTACCTTGGGTAATGCAAGGTCTGGCCCTGTTTTAGTCATGACTATGATGTGGGTAGTCATGCCTAATGGTTAGCCTTGGGGTCAGGAACCTGAGTCCAGAGCCAGAAGCCAGGACAAATCCTTGTCAGGAGGTACCCAGGGTCAGAAGCCAGGCATGAATAGTAGGAGAACAGAAACAGAAAGCAGGAGGAAGGACCAGAGTTAGGGCATGGTGCTGGGTTCAGGTTGCTCTACACACTTACTATGAGACCTGTACAGACAACCACTAGGGCTCACCACATATAGGCCTCACTTCAAAGCCCTACAGCTTTTAAGTTTGTTTGGTGTGGTGGGGTCAGCTTCCTGTCAATGCAGCAGCCAGTGACTGACTGCCAGAAGCTGACTCATACCCCAGCTGGTGCAGTGATTCATCCTAGTTCTTGGCCAGTGTCAACACCAAGTTTTGCATCTCTTCTCCACCATTGTAAACAAGTGCTGCCAGAGGTCCTTGCCCTGCTCCCTCTCCTTGATCTCTTTCTCCCATTCTTCCTGTGCTAGAATCTGTCTTGAACCCATTCCAGCCCCTGCTTTCCTTGCAGCAGCTCCTGGAAGTACATGACTCTCCTCTGTATTACAGACACAATGTCAGCCTTGATTTGCTTCCTTTGGGCCTTCTGTGGTGACATTTGCTTGTTGAGGCTGGTGGAGGTCCTGGAAGTATGTACAGTTGGGTGTTGAGACACTCCGTTCATTCCTTTCCCCGACAGGATATTAGGAATGGACTCCCTCCACATGACTTCTATATTACCAGGCCCCAGCATGTAGCTTTCATAATTTTTGCTGTGTCGTCCCCATTTATTTTCAAGAACACTGGCCCACAGGTAATATGTGGTTATTCAACAAGGCAACAGAAGATCACATCATGGCAACCTATTGCTGTACTTCTTACTATGTATGTTCCTAAAGAGTTTTTTGTTTCCAGTGGGCAGCAATTTACCTGTCAGTAGAATGGTGTGTCTATGGACCTGTTTTAAAGAGCCTGAATGGAAAAGAAAAGTGTCAGTCCAGGCCCGCAGAGTATGCTGGGGAGTTTTCTAGAAGCCTTGTGACCACAAAGTATGGAAGGGTCCAGAGGTATAACTAGGGCGGAGAAGGTGGTAGTGGCCAGAGCAGTGGCTGCTATTTTTGCACTTCTTCTAAGTTGGCGCCCCAGGCTGGTGCCTCACTCGCCCCCTGCTAGTTACATTACTGGAAGGGTCTTGTCAAGTACCATGCTGTGGAAGGGTACTTGGGGTGTTTGCCACTTGAAGAGGTCAGGCAACCTGTAGAGCCACCAGCAGGTGAGGGTCAGGGCTAATTACAGAGTCAGGTGACACAGGGGGCTGATAGGTGAGGCTAGGCCTGATCAAGGGAGTCACCTGATTGGAGGAGGGCTGGATTTAGACAGGATAGAAGCTCAGACCCTAAGAGCCGAGCTGGCACTAACATCTTGGGAGCTAGCATAGGAACATCACCCAGCAGGAAGGCTGCCACTCCTGAATGCCAGCAAGAAGAATAACATCTGGAGGTGTGGGCAGGATCTAAGGGATGGAGGAGGTTCCTGGGGGTCCCAGTACGGGGTCCAGAACCCTGAGAAGGGGGCTGAGTGCCTGGGGCCTGTTGAGAGGCTAGATGAGCCTGGAGAGAGAGGGGCTGAGTGCACAGGGACCTGGTGAGAGGTCAGGTGAACTCTGGGAGAGGAACTGATAGTCTGTGCACCTATTGAGGGGCCAGGTGAGCCCTGAGATTGGGGCTGAGTGTTTGGGAGACCTAGTGGAGGATCTGGATGAACCCAGTGAGTGGTGCACAGTACAAGGGCCTATTGAGGGGTCCACACGAGCCCAGAGAAGGAAGGGGCTGCATTGGGGAAGACCTACAGAGGGCTCCGAGCCCAGAGAAAGGGAGTGATCTATGGAAGGGCCTGAGAGGGTGGACCCACAGAGACAAGGGCCTCCAGCTGTCAGCTGGAGAACTGACCCTGGGAATCTCAACTGGCCTGGGCAGGGCCTGGGCCCAGGAAGGGCTGAAGGGTGAAAGAGACCACAGCAGAGATTGCCAGAGCTGGGAGAACCTGGAGTCTCAACTGGCCCAAGTCAGGGCCAGAGCCTAGGAGAGCCCAAAGGTCCTTGGGTGGCCACAGCCAAGAGGAAGGGGTGAAGGGGCGTGCAGCCTGGGATGACAATGGCTGATGCTAGGCCATCTGAGGAGGAGGGATCAAGGAAAGGAGTCTAGGAGTGAGCTGGGGGCCAGAGATGGAGAACTTAGATGAGAGATGGAGCCAGGGCCAGGAGCCCTGGTTGTTAGCAGCCCAGGAGGGGTGTAGGACATCTAGGGGGAGCTCAGAGGGATGAGTAAGATCAGGAAGGCCTGAAGACTGTTCCTGGGTAAGAACTGAAACTGCACCCTACTGGGACTGGTTAGCATGGTGGAGCTGCCTGGGGTGGGGCAACCTCCATGAAATGCCACACATGGGCCACTCCAAGGAAAGGCAAGGATGGGGCACTGGAAAGCCTCAGCTCCCACTGCCTGTGGGTTACCCTGTGGATGGGGCAAAGCTAAGGGAGCACACCCAGACAGAAAAGTACTTGGTATGGGAAGACTGGGACCACGTGGGTCCAGAGGCCCAGAGAGGGGTCAGGAAAGACCCAGGACCACATGGGTCTAGCGGCCCAGTGAGGGGGCTGGGGAATAGAGTGCAGCCCATGAAGCATAGTGGGACCAGAGGGGTCCAGTGGCCCAGCGAAGGGCAGGGAATAGAGTGCAGAACTGGACGGGTCTGAGAGCCTGGAGAGTGGCTGGGAAAATGGAGGACTAAAAGGGTCCAGGATAAGAGAATAGAAGGAGCTGGCAG